TTGAGATAGAATCTCCCTTGGTCGCCCAGACTGGAGTGCAGTGGAGCAATCTCTGCTCACTGCAACCTCCACCTTCCAGGTTCAAGTGATTCTCCTGCCTTAGCCTTCTGAGTAGCTGGGATTATAGGTGCACACCACCATGTCCAGCTAATGTTTTTTGTATTTTTAGTAGAGAAGGGGTTTCACCATGTTGGTCAGGCTAGTCTCCAACTTCTGACCTCATGATCCGTCACCTCAGCCTCCCAAAGTGCTGGGATTACAGGCGTGAGCCACCACACCCGGCCTATCCTCTAATTCTTAATTCATAAAACATGGATCTCTTCAAAATAAAAGTATTCCATTAGAGTTCAACAAAGGCTCTTTTCCTAAGCTAAACTGACCACAGTTGATAATCTTAGCTACCACCTATGGGACATTTAGTCTGGGCTCTGCATTATTAATTGCTTTTCACTGACTGAGCTAATATTCACAAAATTCTCATGAGACAAGTATTATTACAAGTATTATCTCTCTTACTGAGAGAAAACATAGGCTCAGCAAAGAGAAACTGACTTCTCCATAGTAGAAATGTGGGAAAACCCAAGACTATCTTTTTAGCACATATTATAATACTGGCTATGGATGTATATATACAATACTTACTATCATATGACAAGATATGTCCACTTTTGCCTTCATAAATAACATGGCCTTTGGATGCAGCTTCCTCTCTGCCTTTTTCAGGACTGCTGTCTTCAATGGGCATTCTAGAAATGGACCCCTTCACCAAAGTCTCCGTTGGTATGCCAGGCTGGGGCAGAGCTGGGGTGCCCTGCCATAAAATCAAGCACAAATAGAAGAATTACTTGAGTTTAGGGGAAACACAAGATGCTCAGAAAATTTAACTTATCACAGAGTCAGACTAATCCATAGCTTCAAAGAAAGCAGATGTACATGAAAGGAAATTAAAATATTGAATTTTTTTTTATTTTGTTTGAGATAGAGGTTTCACTCTTGCTGCCCAGGCTGGAGTGCAATGGCGCAATTTTGGCTCACTGCAGCCTCCACTTCCTGGGTTCAAGTGATTCTCCTGCCTCAGCCTCCCAAGTAGCTGGGATTACAGGCATGTGCTATCATGCCCCGCTAATTTTTTGTATTTTTAGTAGAGATGGGGTTTCTCCACGTTGGTCAGGCTGGTCTCCAATTCTCGACCTCAGGTGATCTGCCTGTCTTGGCCTCCCAAAGTGCTGGGATTACAGGCATGAGCCACCACGCCCGGCCTGAATTTTTATAAACATGAAGATATCCTGAAACTTCATCCTTCAACTCAGCCACATAACACTTAAAATAATGACAGGTATATTAGGTGAATCAACTTTGCTCCCACCTTCATGTGAGGATTCTATTACAGGACTTAACTCTCAGAAGTTTCTCTTAAGGACTAAAATCATTTAAATGTAACAGCTTTTATTAGGTTGGTGCAAACATAATTGCAGTTTTTGCATTGCTGAAATTTGCCTTTTGATACTGGAATATATTCTTTTTTTTTTTTTTT